GGTGGTGACAGTGATGGTGTCACCCATCCACAAGCTGCCCTGTCTGCTGGGTGGGCTCGGGGGTCCCCACTCAGCTCCATTGCAAAGAGGTTCCCTATGTCCCCCCGTGTCCCCCCCGTGTCCCCCCAGGCATCCAGCAAGGATGCAGGGACACACACGTATCCCACATAACCCGTACCCGTCCCCGTCCCCGTCCCCGTCCCCTGCAGCAGCTGCCACCATCCCTTCCTGCCACCATCAACATCCGTGAGCCCCGCTGGGACCAGAGCACCTTCCAGGGCCGGGCCAAGCACTTCTTCATGGTGACCGACCCCCGAAACCTGCTCCTCTCGGGGGCCACGCTGGAGGAGGCTCGCCGGGTAGTGGAGGACTACAGGTACTGGGGGTGGCCGTACCCCCAGCACTGCTCCTGGGCAGGATATGGCCTCGGGGCCATCCCCAGGAGTAGGAATGGGAGCACTGCTCGCCCCCCCTGGCCAAAGCCAGTCCCCCAAATTGCCTGGCTGGTCCTCAAGCCGTCCCCCAGCTGCCCCACATGGAGTGGGGGGGGACCAGGTAGAGCACAGGTGCTGGTAGAGGGTCTCCCAACGGGTGCTACCCTTACTCGGCAGGGCAGGCACGGTACCCCCGGGGCTGACAGAGGACCAGCTTTGGCGGGCAAAGTACATCTATGACTCGGCTTTCCACCCCGACACGGGTGAGAAGATGCTCCTCATAGGGCGCATGTCTGCCCAGGTCCCCATGAACATGACCATCACCGGTTGCATGTTGACCTTCTACAGGTACCCGTCCCCTCCTCACCCCAGGGCCCAGGAGGGTGCCCAGGAACCGCTCCCCTGGGCACCTTCCTGGGCCCTGGGGTAAGGAGGGGATGCATGCCCCCTACCCCGTAATGCACCCATGCCATAGGAGCATGGGTGGCATCCTCCAGTGCCACCAGCACCCTCTTCTCTCTGGTAGGACCACGCCGGCCGTGCTGTTCTGGCAGTGGGTCAACCAGTCTTTCAATGCCATCGTCAACTACACCAACCGCAGTGGGGATGCACCCATCACCCCCAGGCAAGCATCTCTTTGACCAGGTCCCCAGGGCACCCCAAAATCCCAGGGGGTGTGTGTCTTGAATAGCTTCTTGAATAGTGTGGGAGGGTGTGAGATGGGATGATGGGGGCCAGAGATGGACATCAGTGGGGCTGTTAGGGTTGGTGGTAGAGCTGGGAGAGGAACCTAGGCATCCTGATGCTATTGAAGGGCATGATGTCCCCTCCTTTGGGGGGTAAGGGTGGGATGGGGGGATCCTGGCTCATCAGTGTCACCTCCTGCTCTTGCAGCCAGCTGGGGACAGCCTATGTGAGTGCAACCACAGGGGCAGTTGTCACAGCGCTGGGGCTCAAATCACTCACCAAGGTAACGTGGCCCCTGGCCGTCACTGGCCGGGGCACCTGGACCCTCTCCGTGGGGTCTCCCTGAGCTTCCTATCCCCTGGAGCAGGGGAGAAAGTGGAGGAACGGAGTTGCTGAGGTGGGGGGCACACAAAGCAGCCCCACTTCCCAGCAATAGCTCTGGAGATGGCTGTCCCTCCAGCCCTGCTTCATCCCCAGCTGGATGTCTCCAGACTTCTTTCACCCCTTGGCATCCCTCCAGTGTTGGGAGGGGACATGGGACTCCCCGGAGCTGCTGGGCTATGCAGCTTTCACTGGCTGGGAGTTGCAGGGGAGGAGGGAATGATTTTCCCTGGTGGGGCTGGGACACCCAGGGTCTTGCTGGGGGACAGTGGCAAACCCAGGGAAAGCCAGCTCTGCCCTCAGACCCTCTGCATGACATACTCCCTGCTTGCCCCCGCAGCACTTGCCAGCCATCATCGGCCGGTACGTGCCTTTTGCGGCCGTGGCTGCTGCCAACTGTATCAACATCCCTCTGATGAGGCAGAGGTGAGCCCCTGGGCTGGGACAGGGCGCTTGGGCTTGCGTCGGGGTTCACTGGGCTGTGGTGGGGGATGGGGGGGGAGCATTGCCCTGGACTTGCAGGGGGCTTCCTTCCTGGCCCTGTTGGCACCCCTTACCCTGGGGGGTTGGTTTGAGGGTACAATCACCCTATTGCATCCCAAGGGGTTATCTGTTAATGCCATCCCTGTCCAGCTCTGCCTGAGGACGCACATAGTGTGAATGTGGGTCCAGCTCTCAGCTCCCCACGCAGGCAGTGGATGGGGAATACAGAAGGACACCAACCTCCCTTAGAGACATGCCCCTGCGCAGTGTCCTTGCCTTGTCCCTTGATGCCCCTACCTGCATGCCCTGAGGCCCCCCTCACCCCCGCTTTCCCTGCAGAGAGCTCAAGTTGGGGATCCCCATCACGGATGAGAATGGGAACCGCCTGGGTGAGTCCACGGCCGCAGCCCAGAAAGCCATTTTCCAGGTGGTAGTGTCCCGCATTGGCATGGCAGCCCCAGCTATGGGTAAGTGTCCCCTCTTTCACCCATGTCCGAGGGCTGCAGCCAGTCCCTGGCAGTGTGGGATGGGATCCCACAGCTGATGGGGGGCTGTGAGCACTGGGAGCTCACCTCCTTCCCCTCTGCCCCAGCCATTCCCCCGGTGATCATGAACGCGCTGGAGAAGAGAGCTTTCCTGAAGGTACTGCTGGTCCCGGGAGGGGAGGGTGAGCATGGGGGTACACCCCTCTAGCTTGTCACAGTGCTGGCACCCCTCGGGGCTGGCACC